AAAATATATATTTCCAAGCCATGGATGCTTGAATCCATGGATAAGGAGGACTGATTGTACTGCTCAGCCTCCAGAATATGACTATACCCAGTGGATAATGAAACATCATAGCAGCCCCATAACCAGTATAAACTACTTCCCTCCCATTGTGTTCAAACCCTTGCCATTTACATTGGACAGATGATGGGATACAGTCAACACCCAGTTGCAGCCCATCACTAGTATTTATATCCATCGATGAAGACCATAACTTATCTCCCTATCCTCACTGCATTATACATTGGTCCCTCCACATTTGCTAGGGTTAGGGGTGAAGGACCCCTGTGAATGTGGAAAAACCATATGTAAAAATATGATTCTTTTTAACCTAAGAAAACATCTCTCTAGGAATCTCCAGGTCCTCCAGTGTAACTCTATGGTTAACATCTACCAGAAGTTGATCATAGAATTATGCTGGAAGACCTACAAATAAATGCCTAGTGAAGTGTTTTCTTTAGGAACTTCTAGGTTCTCTGGCACAACTCTATGTCAATTTCCAGCAGAGTTGCACTGGAGGAATTAGAAATTCCTAGAGAGAACATATTAATCAACACCGCAAATAATCAAATCTGCAAAAGTCAAAGCCACAAATGTGGAAGACCAACGGTATACACTTAGCGCTCACTGTGAAAAACTCTGTGGGGACAGTTCACAGTCCAACAACTAAGGGTTTCATGAAAGAGCACTCCAGTAAGCAAGGGAAAAGGAAATAAATTCTCTAAATTTTGACTGTTTTCTCTGCTACCCATTCTTGATTTTTGCCATTTGGGGAAAGTATCGACTATGTTTTATGCTGGATTTTCTAATCCCTTATCAGAGGTCAGGCATTGCAGTTTAGGAATAGTCTGGCGTATGTACAAATGTTTCAACAATTTTTTTTAAAAAGTTTATTATCATGTTTTCAAGGGTAAAAAGTATTTCTTGCATCTCAACAGCACAGTCATGGTGAAACTGGGGCTTTTTGTATAAGCCTTCAGCTACTGATCTTTATCTTTGTTCTGAAAGTTCACAGTCTTCAAAACTGAAGCCATGTTGCTGTATCATTCTAGAAAAAAAGCCCTTATTCATGCTGTGTGTCTTATCAGCAAAAACCACAAAGTATCATAACAACCCAAGAGTAAGAAGAGAAAAAAAATGTGGTTTACTATAAAGAATTGACTGCATTTCTCAATATGAACTTGAGCTACAGTGAATTCAGTAATTATGATTGTATATAAATACTCCATGCAGAATAGGGGCAGGAGATATGAGATTTTCCATCCATATTTTTCAAGAGAACATAGTAAACTCTTCCTTTAGATAGGATAATGCTTTGGATAATAATTCAACATATCAATAGTATAATCTGAGGCCTTCCTGTTTAATGAATATCTGAACATGCTCATGGGTCATAAATTAGGGGTGAAACAGACGAATCTATGGTTTCATTCTTCTCTTCAGACATTTCCACGTATATAATGGCTAAGGTGCTTGCATCATTTAACATACAACAATGTTTTTTTCCATGAATGTTTTTATTCCCTCCCTCCTCCAATCTACCGGAATTTTTAACGGCACTGTTCCAAAATATTATCCTTTACTGAGCAATTCTGTACACGGAGGAGAAAAACATAC